TCACAGGTACACGCAGCGACGCATTAAACACCATAGATATAGAATACAGGTATGTAGAACCAGTTGGGAAGTTTTAAGTCACCGATGTTTTGCACTGTGTGTGCGTCGGAAACTTTTCAATTGGGAAACTCATATAGGTGTTTTTTCAATTTAATAATCATAATATAGCATCAAGAGCACATATTATACTACAGAGACATGTGGTATACCTGTATATGCGGTGTAAAAGTGACTTAAGAAGATTACTTAGTACTCCATAGCCATACACGTACGTGACGTAGCTCAAACATGTGGGCCTAAAAGTGCGTAATAAGTTAAAATTTATTCTATATACTCGGTCTTTAGATATTAAACAACTCGACCAAGAGCAATACATTTACATAATTTAAATGAGATAGCCACATCATGAACTAGTCATTCATGAAATCCAGGAACCATGCAGCTTTCACTTGAAAGAATTCCCAGTATTACAAGTGCTGCTGCTGCTGTGCTATGTATCACACAGTCTACACCACTGAGTGTGGACGCTGGCCTCTATGCTTTTAACAAATACCTATGACGTCTACGACGCTATCCACTGGGCGGTATTGCGCAGGAGAATAATTACACTTAATTGCGTTATGGCCTATTGGACAGCGTCGCGGACGAGATAGGGGGGTTGGTAAAGACAGAGAGAAGACAGATTAAATGGAAAAAAAATGTTCGCTACGCGCATGGGATTCGAACCCCTGTAGAGTCATAAACGTCATCTAACGGGGTCGGGAGAAATTGCGTCATTAATAGAGAACAGGGGAAATGTTTGTTATATTCAGTGGCGGTACCAAGGGGAGCCTTCCCCCCAATCAGCTCCTGTACAAAAGTTTTAAGGACACAGTTCACAGGAGCAATGACAATATTTATTTTAATCCATAGGCCTAAATGTTGCCTTTCAATCTTTGGGTTTTAACCCTAGTCTATGTTATTTGAATTCTTATCGAGTGGCAACCCTCCCAATCCTTCGGATTTTGGCGGAAAATTTCTGCTTTCTTATTCTATTTCCGCCACTACGATTTTCCCCTTTATTTTTCCGCATAACAGCAATTTCCGCGGATAGCTTTGATTTACAACACTAGCGCACTACAGTAAAATTAGAAGTTTGGATATGGATCAGAAGTGGTCTACACGCGTGTTTATTTCTCTGTTTAAGGCATATACAGAGTGACAGAGTCTTGATTTTCACCTCAAAAATGCTAAAAATGCTCAGAGCTTCCTTAAACCCCACCACATCAGGGGCCGTAATTCCGTAATGCCGTAATTCCACCACATCAGGGGCCGTAAGACCCATTATTTCTTGCGCTACGTGCTCGAATTGGCGCTACACGATCATAACATTTTGCCCCCACCCCCTACATTTGTCCTTGCCCTCGGCTTGCCAATCGTGGTGCGATCTTGCCAATCCCATCGGCTTACCACTTTGACAATCGTGGTGCCGCCACTGGCACTGGTCTTGTCGTGTAGTTGTGACATTCCGTCAAGTGGCGTAGCCATGGTGACCGGTTGGTCATTTTTGTGTTTGAGACGTGATCCGACTACTTTGTAGAAATCCGCATCAAAGAGCTGGCAAAAGTTTCGAACGGAGCATAAAGCATGAATCTGTAGTTAGTTATTAACATGTATAACGTGTATGTTGTGTATGCGACGAAACAGTGAGTATTTTTAATTAATCTCTGTTCGATGCTTATTCAGGCCTGCTGCCTATGGACGCCTTCTACTCACTACTGTTGTACAACACCTAGATACGACCCTGTATTAGACCAATGATATCTATTACCATAGATATACACAACACATTGTTGTGTATATCTATGCTATTACGTATAGAGTCGACACGTACAGACGTTTACATACAGAATCTGATATCAGTAGTGTAGTTGAACCGTAAAATTGCATCGTGCTGCCATCTAGTGTGCATTATAATCAGTAATGCTCATGTGTACGTGCGTGTGTGCGTGTGCCGCGGGGATGAAGTAGTGGCATAGTATGGAAGGCCATTACCGCCAAAACCTACCTATTTTAATCGCGCGATTAAAATAGGTAGGTTTTTGTGCGTGTGTGTGGGGGGAGGGGGAGAGGATGTGTGTGTGTGTGTGTGTGTGTGTGAGAGAGAGAGCACGAGAGGGGGAGATGATGTGTGTGTGTGTGTGTGAGAGAGAGAGAGAGAGAGAGAGAGAGAGAGAGAGAGAGGGCGAGAAAGGGAACGGGAAGGTGTAAGAGAGAAATAGAAAGAGAGGGAGTGAGAGGTACAGAGAGAGAAAGCGGGACGAAAGTGTAAGAGAGAAGTGGAAAGAGAAGGAAAGAGGGACACAGAGAGAGAGAGAATGAAAGAAAGAAAGCGGGGGTGAGACAGACACACAGAGAGAGAAAGGCAGAGAAAGAGAGAGAGAGAGAGGAGAGAGAGAGAGAGAGAGAGAGAGCGCGCGCGCGAGATAAAGATAGATAGAGATGGAGAGCGAGAGAGTAGGGAGGGAGAGAGGGAGATAGAGAGCAGGCGTTGGTGACGTATCGAGCGTGAGATCGCAACCGACGTGAGCGTTATTGAATATCGGAGAGGAATCTAGATCAGCTGCCTCTTCCTGTTGATGCTCTCGTCTCTCCGTCGCATTCCGCATCCCCCCGCTGCCATCCCCGCCGTGAACATCTCTCTCACGCTCTCATCCCACCCCTACTCTGCCGTCTCTTCTCTCAGCGTGTGCCTTCCTACACCCCACCTTGGAGTAATTATATAATCATTCAGAATGATTACTCCAAGATCCCACCCGCTCTCTTTTTTAGTGGTCTGTCCCACACCCTTCCTCCCTTCACTGTGTAGCTTCCCACACCCAACCCCGCCCTCTCTCTCTCGCTCTGTGTGCCTTCCCACACCCCATCCTACCACACTCCCTCCCTGTGTGCCTTCCCACACCCCATCCTACCACACTCCGTTCCTGTGTGCCTTCCCACACCCCATCCTACCACACTCTCTCCCTGTGTGCCTTCCCACACCCCATCCTACCACACTCTCTCCCTGTGTGCCTTCTCACACCCCACCCCGCCGCCCTCTCTCCCAATGTACCTCCCCCAGCTTAGCGACATCGCCACCATCTACGGCCATCGTGAAGCCGTCTACAGTCACGTGACAGCTCGCCGACAGACGTAGCCGCCGCGCAGGCGCAGGATCGTTTCTCTGTTTTTTTTGGCTCGTTCGTAATTCGTCGGCGGCGTCGGCTCCGGATCGGCAGCAGCAGCGAAACGAATCACGCGCGCGACTCGGCGGCGCGTGAAATGAAAGTTTTCGCCGCAAAACAAGGAATTTTAATTCGCTTTTTTTTCTTTTGCTTATCGCCGCCGATCGTGCGATGCACAGCGCCTAGCGAGCTGCTGCTGCTGCGTGCGCTGCATGCCGGGAAGGAGGGAGACAAATGGGAGCGAGCGGAGAGAGGGAGGGAGGGAGGGACGGAGGGAGGAAGAGAGGGCGCGCTTTAGAGGTTGAGCTAGCGAGCGAAAGTAAGAAAGAAAGAAAGAAAGATGATAGATGGATAGAGAGGGATAGCATAGACCGCCACCGGGATTAAGAGAAGGGAGAGCGAAGGAGAGAGGGAGGGAGGGGGAGAGCGAGAGAGAGAGAGAGAGAGAGAGAGAAGAGAGCGAGAGAGGAGAGAGAGAGAGAGAGAGAGAGAGAGAGAGAGAGAGAGAGAGAGAGAGACGAGAGTAGAGAGAGAG